TATCTATCTATCTATCTATAGATATATATAAAACAAACCTCCAATGGCTTCTCATTGCTCACCTGTACCTACAAAGTTTGGCTCAGTGGATAGAGTGTCGGCCTTCGGACTGAAGGGTCCCGGGTTCGATTCGGGTCAAGGGCACGTACCTCAGTTGCAGGCTCCTCCCTGGCCCGGGGCCCTGTTCGGGGCTCCTGCAGGAGGCAACCAATCCTGTTTCTCTTACATCGATATTTCTCTCTGTCTTTCCCTCTTTCTTCCACTCTCTAAAAATCGTTGGAAAAATATCCTCGGGTGAGGATTAAAAAAAAAAAAAGATGCTGAGCTCAGTCAGTCCTTTGCCTGAGTGATGGCTGTTGGGTGTCTGCCTCCGGGAGGTATTTCTGTGTGGCTTTTTCTAAAAATGTGACCCTCTGGGTCACATTACCTGTTTGTTTCCTGCTGGAAACCACTTGAAACATTGTGAGTTTGACTACTTGCTTATTGTCTGTCTCACTGGCCTCCCATGACGGCACAAACTCCAGATCTTAGCTCAGGGCTGCACACACAGGCTGCTGAAGTTTGCTGACTGAATGGAGCGAGGCCACAAGAGCACCCAGCCTTTACTGTGCACTTTACACGGTTACGGCATTTCATCCTCCCAGCCCCGCTCCAAAGGGGAATCCCAGGCTCTGCAAGATGAGACAATTACCAGTGGTTCTCAACCCTCCTCACGCCGCGACCCTTTAGCACAGTTTTTCATGTTGTGGGGACCCCCAATCATGAAATTATTTTCGTTGCTACTTCATCACTGTAATTTTGCTACTGTTATGAATCGTCATGTAAATATCTGATATGCTATATGTGTTTTCTGATGGTCGCGACCCACAGGTTGAGAACCGCTGAATTAGACTCAGTCATTGGGTGATAAGCTGTGGGGCCTGAACTCAGGTCTTCCTGACCCAAAGCCTACACAGTGCTCCTGGAATGGAGGAGTGTGGGGGTCCCACAATGTCCTAAAGACAGGGGGGTGGGCCCGAGGGCAATGAAGGGCTTTGCTGGAATGGGACAAAGAGCCCAGGGACAGGTCAGACCGCTTACATGTTAGGGGAGGGTTCCTTGTGCAGAGGGTTTCTTGAAGCCCAGAAGAGGCCAGGGACTCGGCTGAAGTTATACAGTTGGTCAACTGTAGAGCCAGGACTCAAACCCAGGCTCCCCATGCCGCGTTCGGGGAATCGGCTGGACAGGGCAGCCGCCGCCTGCGTAACGGAAGTCATGTTTCAGGAGGCGGCACAGCATCGCGGTTGTTTTCTGGCATTAATTTTTCCTGGCTGCATCCTGTACCAGCTATGTGAACTGGGAAAATATCTCAACTTCTCCCTGCCTCCATTTCCTCATTTTTAAGCAGAGAATCAAATGAGCCTACATTTAGGAAGTCCTTGGTAGATGCTGGCCACATAATAAGTGCTCAGCACACACATTCTTTTCATTGTTATCTGGGCCTGGGAGCCACGATGGGCTGGCTGGTGGGAGGGGAGGCACCATTAAAAGAGCTGACCGTCGCCGGGCTCGGTACCGCTTCTCTGATTTCTGAATGTTTCGGGGAAGCTTCTAGGCACTGGGGTGGGTAGCTGGGGACTGCACCTCAGTTCTAAAGATGAGGGCTGGACATTTCATTCTGCCCTTGAAGCACGTGTCTCCAATGACACTTTACTGAGAGTGGCTGTCGTTGAGCCCTTCTGATGTGCCGTGTACTGTGATGCAGGGCACTGAGAGATGGGCTTGGAAAATGAAATGAACCTATCTTCACTCTTTTTAAAAATATACATGATTACTGATTTTAGAGAGGAAGGGAGAGGGAGAGAGATAGAAGCATCAATGAGGAGAGAGAACCATTGGTCGGCTGCCTCCTGCACGCCCCACACTGGGGATGGAGCCTGCAACACCCTGGTTCATAGGTCGACGCTCAACCACTGAGCCGTGCCGGCCGGGCTAGCTTCACTCTTGATAAGTCAGAGAGGACCTTCAGCCCCACCACTCGTCTCTACTTTCAAATGCAGGTCAAGTCCACTGGTGAGAATTAGGCTGCAGATGTGTGCGGCCTGGGCGGAGCCCCAGCCCTGCCACATCCCAGCAGGGTGGCCGTGGACAAACTGCTTAACCCATCCCAGCCTCAGCTTCCCCACCTGCAAACTGGGGATAATGATAAGCCCTAACTCATAGCATTGTCCTCAGGCAGTGATTCTCAACCCTCTGGCCCTTTAAATACAGTCCCTCATGTTGTGACCCAACCATAAAATCATTTTCGTTGCTACTTCATAACTGTGATGTTGCTACTGTTATGAATCGTCATGTAAATATCTGATATGCAGGATGGTCTTAGGCGACCCCTGTGAAAGGGTCGTTTGACTGACCGCCAAAGGGGTCGAGACCCACAGGTTGAGAACTGCTGTCCTAAGGATTAAATGAGAGAATTCATGCAAAGCTCTTAGCACAGTGCCCAGCCCAAAGAAAACATATACCAAGAGTTGAGTATTACTGTTTTTATCGCTGTATCATCTGGCCCTTGCCTGTTTCACAGAGATGTCATACCAATTCACGTGGCAGTGAAAATACAAAAGGAAAGTTGACCCCTTTTCAGAAACTGTTAGTGTGAAAATACAACAATGTACGTTATGATTTTTCAGAGCCACAGCTACACAGTGTAAGCCACGCCTTGCTATGTGAGGCAGTCAAGGTGGGGACTGTACTTGAGCCGTGTGTGAAAATGCCACCGTTGTGTGTGCTGTCACTCGGGAATGGGCCTCACTACCGCCATGCCAGCAGTGCCTCAGGTGTTGGGCTGGCTCACAAGAGAGTGCGCTAAACTCTTTGGGGAGGGAAGGGTATGAAAGAGCCCAAGTTCACTGCTTCCCAGGCAGCTGGTCTGCCGACCGTGACCGCTGCACGTTGGCATTATCACCAGCACTTCCGGGACCTTCTACGTGCCCACCCCTGTCGAGGACTGGGAAGGACTCAGGAGTATAGAGCCCTTTGCTTTGTGCCCACTCGTGATGGCTGGCATGCTGCCGTGTCTGGTACAGCGATGGAGACCATCTGGGCAGTGCAAGGTCCATCAACAGCTTGATTCCGGACATCTGCAGAGCGCTCCAGCGTCTAGAGAGTTTGGTCAACTGTTATTTGTTTCCCCCGTTAGCGGAAACCATTGCCGCGCAAAGCCCTCTATTGGGCAGCGGGGCGGTTACTGACAGTGTCTGTTTCACATCTGGGACCCCTTGACTCAGCAGCCTCAGCCACACTGCCTTCCAGCGGAGCCGCCCCGCGCAGCAGGTGTAAGGCCTGTTTGGCAGATGAGGAGTTGAAGTCCAGACAGGTGAGGTAAACCACGCCAGGTGACATAGCCAGTGAGCAGCAGATGCAGGATCAAACCGGGCCTGCCTGGTTCCAGGCCTGTGCCTTGTCCACCCTCCTGCAGAACTTGAGGCAGGGAGGGGCCCTGAGTGGAGGAAGGTGATGGGAGTCCCCCTGAGTGGTGGGAGAGGAAGAAGGCAGGGAGGGTGGGAGGAGACGAGAGGCCGGGGGCCAGATTTGTACGGCCTTGGAGACCATAGTAAGGACTTTGGATTTTCATCTAAATGTGATGGGGAGATGCCAGAGGGTTTTAAGCAAAATAGTGACATGATCTGATTTCTATTTTAAAAGAATCACTCCGTTTCCTGCTCTGTAAAATGGGGATAACTGCAGTACCTCCCGCATAAGGTTGTCATGAGGAAATGCAGGGGGCTAAATGGGAGGATGAGTGTAAGGGTCTTTGTTGGTGCCAGGCAGACGAGGCTGTTGAATGGATATTGGCCATGGCGATGACACAGAAGGTGCACTGAAGAACTCAGGGTGAGGCTGGGAGCTGAAGACAGCGAGGACCTGGAAGGTCTGCGCGTACAGGTTAGAATCCGAGAATCCCTCTCGTCAGCCTGGCAGAACTGACGTGAGGCCAGGTCCCGAGTCAGGGACACTGCCCGGAGAGGGAGAGAGCGAAGAGGGCTCGGGGCTCTCCAAGTAAGCAAGAGGCAGCAAGGATCAGAAAATGGCAGTTCCATTTTCAATTTTGGTTAATCCTCACCAGAGGATATTTTCCCATTCATTCTTAGAGAGAGTGGAAGGGAGGGAGAGAGACGGAGAAAGACAAGCATCAATATGAAACATAATAGTTGTTTGCCTCCCGCATGCAGGGTGTGGGGCCAGGATGGAGCCTGCAACTGAGGTATGTGCTCTTGACAGGAATCGAACCAGGGACCCTTCAGGGACCCCGAGCAACTGGCTGGGGCAAAATGGCAGCTCCAAAGTGTCTATGTAAGAAGATGGGGCTGGGAGGGCACTCAATCTTCAGGTTATATTGCAGAAGCATGTGCCGCCTAACCAAAGGAGGAAGTTGCAGATGAGATTATGGGATGTCTAAGTCCTAGGTCCCTCTCCACTGCCCTGGTGCACAGCCTTGCGGCACTGCAGGCTGCACCTCTGGAGTCCACTGCCTACTCCATCTGGCTTCGCCAAACCTAAAAAGGGAGAGGATGTGTATGGGAAAGAACAGAGAAAATAGAAAAAATCACCAAGACTAATGTTAGGGAGCACGAGTAATTTTAATAGCAACCCACCCAAGGAAAGCATAACGGTTACAGACATGTGAAACAAGCCCTTCACCCTCCCTCTCCAGCAAGCATTCCTCAGCTGTGGCCGCTCCCGGAACTGCGCATGCCCAGTACAGTGTTTTTAAGCACCAGGCTTTTTGAGGGCTTAACTTCAAAAAAAGTTAGGAGCTGACTCCGTTATCAGTCCCAGGTCTTAGGGTAGGCAGGGGATGGAGAGACTGGGGCACCAAACATGCAAATAGGCTGAAAGGTATAGAAAGTGAGAATGGTCTCTGCTGGCCCTCCTTGCAGGCTGAAGTGGTAAGTACTGAGGCCTGAAGAGGCGCCCCGCGCGAGCAAAGGGCCGTCCGCGATTAGCAAGGGTGTTGCAGTGATGATGCCACTGCCCCGCCCGTCAATGGTCCGGCCAGTGCGGAAAGGGAAACCCCCGGGGAGGCGGAGCCGGCGGGCAGAACGGCGCCTGCGCCGCCACTCCCGTGCGCTGCGAGCCGAGCGGAGTCACCGCGGGGAAGCCCCTCCTACTGGGCTCCCGCTGGGGTCGCGAACTGGGCTGGGTGGTCTACAGCAGACACGCCTCGCTCGGGGCGTCGCGACGTCCGGGAAGCCTCTGTGCGTCATTTCCGCTCTCGTCCCTCGCCCACCACGGAGGGGGCGGGGCCGGAGACAGGCGCTCTGCCTGTGCGTCACTTCCATTGAGCCCAGCGGCGACAACGGGCAACATGGCCCTGAACGGTGCAGGTGAGGACTTGAGCTGCGGGGTCCGCGGCTGCGGGGTCCGGGAGGCCACCTGCTTCGGCGAGCGCACCAGGTCCCTTGTGCCTTTCTTTCCCCAGAAGTCGACGATTTCTCCTGGGAGCCTCCGACCGAAGCGGAGACGAAGGTGCTGCAAGCTCGGCGGGAGCGGCAGAATCGCATCTCCTCGCTCATGGGCGATTACCTGCTGCGTGGTTACCGCATGCTGGGCGACACGTGCGCGGACTGTGGGGTGAGGAGGGACTCGGGACGTGGGAGCAGGGATGGGGCACAGACTAGGCCGCACGGCCCTTCCCCAGCCTCTCCTCTCCGGTCCCTGTTGCCTGGCGTCTCACCCCTGCCCCTGTGCTTTCTGGCCCCTAGACGATCCTCCTCCAGAACAAACAGCGGCAGACCTACTGCGTGGCTTGTCAGGAGCTCGATTCAGACGTGGATAAGGATAATCCGGGTGAGGGGCTGAGTGTGCTTGGTGGAGCGTGGTGATAGGGCCCTGGGAGCAGTAGTGCTGGGAGGTAGCAGTGGCGTCCTTGAGTGGGACGGAGGTAAGGCGCTTTCTCCTGTTAGCTCGGTAAAGGAGCATTCGTTCAGTAAGAGCGCCGGGCACTTCCTGTGTGCCAGACACAGGGGAGGGTCCCGGCTCCATGAGGCACAGTCCTGCTGAGACCGATGACTCAAGGACGTAAGTAAACATGACACAAAAAGAAAATGAATGAGTTGCCCTGTAGAGTGGCAGGGAACACATCTGAAGCACATAAAGAGCAGCGCAGTAGAGAGTTAGGAGGTGGCTCAGGGCTGAGGTGGGCAGGCGTCCTGACCATTCTACTCGGTTTCTCCTCTTTTAGCTCTGAATGCCCAGGCTGCCCTCTCCCAAGCTCGGGAGCACCAGCTCGCCTCTGCCTTGGAGCCTCCCTCAGGTGCTCGGCCCGCCCCTCAGCCCCCAGTACCCCGCCCAGAGCACTGTGAGGGAGCTGCAGCAGGGCTCAAGGCAGCCCAGGGCCCGGCCCCTCCGGCTGTGCCTCCCAATGCAGATGTCATGGCCACCACACAGGAGGCCCTCCTGCAGAAGCTGACCTGGGCCTCAGCTGAATTGGGCTCCAGCACCTCCCTGGAGACTAGCATCCAGCTGTGTAGCCTTATCCGGGCTTGTGCGGAAGCCCTGCAAAGCCTGCAGCAGCTGCAACACTGAGAGACCCCCCCTGAGAAAAACCCGCTAGAAAAACAGCTGCTCCTCTTGTGTGGTCTGTTCTTGCCGTGGTTCTGAGTGTGCATGCTAGCCCCAGCGGCACTCGCCTTTTCCTGCTTTTGGTCTCTCACCCTCCCACTATCTAATCTCCTTGATGAGTCGGGCTTGTTTCTGCTCAGTTTCCCCACTCGGGGGTGACGGGGAGGGAGAGGACTCTGTGATAGTTGCCTCTGCAAAGTCAGGAACAGGGGGGATGTGCCTCGCAGCACCTCGGCCTCCTGAGCCATCCAGTGCTCCTCCACCCGTTGGTGAGCTAGGGAGTCCAGTCCCCTTGGTAGCTGCCTCCCTGCCCAGCCCGGGTACTCAGACACTGACAGGGCATCAGGCTGCCCGTCAGGGACCAAGTATGGATTTACCAGCCTCCTGACCCCGCTTTTAGATCCTTTTCCTTGGGAGTTATAGTTGGACAGGATAATTCAACACAGCGCTGGGGGAGTGAAAAGAACAGTGAATGACCCGTGCCCGCCGCTTTCGGTCTCTCCCCACTTTTTCTGTCTCCCTTCT